GGGGGGGGGAGGGAGGGATCCGTGCGATAGGGGGCTCTCTCGCGTGTGTGTACCTTACCTTGTTGTCGTCCGATCCTGAGTGAATAGGCGAGATCAGCCGCCCAAGGCCCTCTTCCCGCCCGTCGACAACGCCAAAAGGGCCAACATAGAGGAACGCATAGAGCACCCCGGACGAAGACATGGTGTGGTCGCCGGTCAAGGCCTCGCCCCCGTCTGCCGTGCGCAGCTTGCCGGCCGCCACCTCCAGACTCCAGTCAAGCGTGTCGTTTTCTGAGTCCTGCTCCCAGCCGCAGAACCCATTCTCAAAGTCACAGGCGATGTCCTCGCTGGTGGGGATGTAGCTCTCACACGTGATGCGCACGTTGGTCAGAGTGCTGTTGAGCCGCTCCCCGCCCGACACGAGCACCCAGTCGCTGTCGATGGGCGGGAGGGAGAGCATGGGGCTGTCGACGCCGAGCGTCTCGGCAATCACCACGGGCTCGCTGGTGCCTCCTGCCGTGTAGGCAACTTTCCAGCTGTCCGACAAGGTCGACCAGAAGACGAAGAGAGGGCCGTTGCTGAAGGTGCTCTTGCCGTTCTGGAAGCCAGAGCGGAGCCAAAAGGTGCTGGCCGATCGGAGGACGGGGTTGGTGGAATCCTGCAGACGGCCATGGCTTCTCAGGAACGGACAGGGGGCGCACTGGCCGGCCTTGACAGCGATGTCGTCGATAGCAATGAAGAGGTCCGTCGGAGCGTCGGGGGCCGCTGGCTCGCCAGTGTGGGACACCCAGAAGCCAATCTAGGGAGACAGGCAGGCAGGCAGGCAGGCAGGCACAAGCCACACAAGTATCCACACACGGCACCTGGTGAGCCCTTTGTGCTTGGCTGGCTGACCTGGAATGCCTGATCCATCTCATTCAGCTCCACCTGCACCTGCCTCCAGCCGTCGGTCTCGCCTCTCGCCGCCTTGACACGCGTCTCATTGCCCGCGGTCTCGTTAGCTCTCAAAATGGAGACCTCCAGGACATACTGCCTCTGGACGTGTGTCCACACGAAGAACTCCAGGCATCCCTGGCCGATGGGTGGTGAGGGGGGCGAGTAGACGGGGGGGACGGAGAAGGTGGACGCTTTGAGGGACGGACGAGAGAGATCCAACAGGCCATACTGACCTGCGGAGCACGGACGGGGGGGCGGGAGCAACGCAAACCGGGAGGGACGGTGTGTTGCGTGTTGGGTGCTGTGCTGTGTGTGCCGTCGTCTCACCCTGTCCTGAGCGTTGTGTGCGGTCTTCGGGCGGCCCCGGCCTGCGGCCGTCAAAGAATCGCCTCTCGAGCTCCCACCTCACCTCGCCGCCAGTGGTGTTGTCTTTGGAGAAGTTGAAGTCGTGGGCGTACCCACACGTATGGCCCTCTTCAAATCCGCAAGAGCCGATCGCACCACAGAACGTCAGCAGCTCCACCTCTCCCCTCTTCGCCGTGTCGTTGAGAGATGAGGGGACCAATTCCACCGTCTTGTTTGGCAGCATGTTGGTCGCATACACAGTCCAGTTGCCCGACCGGGGGCGGGTGTTGTTGAGCTGTGACGGGACGTCAGGGGACAGCAAGGGCGAAACGAAGGTGAGATTCTCCGTGCGGATGACCCATCCGGGCAGCGACTGCTCCCACACGATCGACGGTGGGCTGGTGTCGGCGTCACCATCCGCTGTTGCCTTGAGCGCCCACGTGGCCTTGCCGCGTTGCCTCGCCGGTGACTTTTGCCACTGGTCAGAGAGTGCCGCGGGCCAGAGGGACGAGTTGGAGTAGAGGGACAGCACGTCGCACTCGAGCATCTGCATGCCCGCCAGCAGCGCCCTGTGGGCGTTGACCCGACCCGACGTCTTGGTGAAGCTCATCAGGTGGGGCGAGTAGTCGGCAGATGAGACAACGGCAGTCGCCACCTGCAGTTATGTATCACACAACAGAACCAACAGGCACACAGTGACCCTGACACACACACACATATGGTCTCCCCCTGGCCCCGTCACCCACTGACCTTTGTGGCGGTAAGCTCAGGAAGATAATCCCACACTAAGGCCGCGACGCCCGCGACAATCGGCGCACTGATTGACGTACCCGTTGCCATGCGATAGACGTCCCCGAATGTGCTCAGGATCTCCACCCCGGGAGCGACCAGATCAACCGAGTCTTTCCCAACGTTGGAGAAGCCCGCCATTTCGTCCGACGGCAGGCTGGACCCGACGCACAGCACGTTGGCCGCCGACCAGCCGCATGGGAAGTCTCTCGAGCCGATGGTGAGCCCGTCGTCAGAGATGCTATCGTTCTCCTCGTTGCTGTTGCCCGCGGCGGTCACGATGAGGTGGCCGAGGTCCGCCAGGCGGCGGACGATGCGCCTGAGCATGACATTGACGAGGAAGGGCGACTCCCGCCACCCAAATGAGGCTGTGGAAATCTTGGCCCCCATCCTCGCGGCGTACTCCCACCCCCGAGCGAACGCATCGTCCCTCCCGTGGCCACGATCGTCAACTGCCTTGATAGCCATCAGGCGAGCCCCCCACGTGACACCAACCACACCCTGCGGACACCACAGCAGCCACACACACATGTCAGGTGACTGAATCATGACTATGCTTGGTGCGGTGCATTTCTTTCGCTTGTGTGACCTCGCTGTTGTTGCCGCGGGCTGCCAGCAGTCCGGCAATGTGCGTGCCGTGCTGGTCGATGGCCTGACGGACGGAAGCACAAACATCAAGAGGAAGAAAGACGCTGGCGTGGCGTATCGTGTTGTGCTGTGCTGTGTTGTGTTCTGCTGTGTTGTGTTGTGTACCATCGGGTCATTGTTGTCGTCAACGAAGTTCCAGCCAAACACATCATCAACGTAGCCATTCCCATCATTGTCAATCCCATCACCTGCACCGCACACCGTAGGCTCAGTGACCGTGCTTGGCACGGCCATGCCAAGGCCACCAACCCACCCCCTCCCACCTGGGACCTCTCCTGGGTTGACCCAGATGTTCTCCCGGAGGTCAGGGTGGTCGTAGTTGATGCCGCCGTCGACCACAGCCACAACAATCCCATTGGTCCCCCGGTGGATGGCCCAGGCCTCCTCGAGGCTGACCTTATCCACCCACCACATGCCACTCTCATTGTACAGCGGGTCGTCAGGCAAAACCGCTGCTGCCCCTCCCCTACCCCGCCGTGGGTATCCCTCCTGCCCATTGGTGGCCAGTCCCCCGCTCGCCCTGGTCCACCCCAGCTCCCCGCTGGCGAGCTGCTCTTGACTCAGCGGCCCCACGATGCTCTCCAGGTCGATGGGGTCGGTGTCGAGGTCATCATAGATGCCGCCCAGCCGACGCCGGCGGGACGGCGTGTCGACGAAGGTGCGGCGGCTCTCGTGGTAAGCGGCGATGTGCGGGTCGGCTTCTAGCCTTGATATGACAGACTGAAAGGGACGATAGCATCCTCGTATGTGTTACCACGTGTGTGTGTGTTGGGTGGTCGTTCGGACCTGCGCCGTTTCGTTGGTGTCGTTGTGGAGGTGAAGGATCTCGATGCCCGTGAGAGGGAGGGACTCGATTATGGCATGGCCGTCCCATTCTGCAGCTACCTCGGCTCTCTTGGCCTCCACATCTGCTGCCGACAGCCCTTCGTCAAACATGAACATAACACTCACATCGCCATGTGCAGCTGACGTGCCTGAAGCAAGAGATACACACATGAGCTGATCCGCCTGTCTGCATGCGCACCGTGTGAGCGTACCATTGTCGCTGAGAAGCAGCAAGGCCACTGCCCACAGAGCCAGTCCAATCAGCATCAAGGCCTCATGAAAAAAATCAGCCTCAATCACCAAAACCGGGCAGATCTGCCTCACACGCAGTGCTGCCGTACTTTCTTCACACACGCACTCCGCGCTGAGCTTAGCTCGCAAATGCTGGCCCCAATGTCGCGGGGGGCGCTCGTCGTTTCTCGTTTTGGTTGTTTTCCCTATCGCCCCCTCCCCCCCAAGCTTCTGTCGACGCCACTCCTGGCCCCTCTGCACCACCCTCGTTTCGCCCCTCTGCAAGGAGAACCTCCTGTGCACAACCAGGCATTCCCCCACCGGTACGGCCCTCCCCCCCGTCCTCAGCGTGATTGAGGAAGCCCTGTCAACCGTTCCGACGAGCCCAACACAGTTCTTGTCCCGCCCGCTGTCTTCCGGCACGTTCTGTCTCGGCCCAAACCACCAAGGACTTCATTTGTTGCTTGCAATGAGGTCAACGAGGTCTGCCTGCTCGGCCCCTCTGCCGTGTTGAGCGCATTGTCAACGTCATGTACGGCCCTCAAGACCCCAACGCTCACCCCTTCCTCGCGGCCATCAGCATCCCGGCCAACCTGCAGTTGCAGTTTCCACAACCGCAGGACGCCACACACACAGTGATGCGCGGCGTCCATGCTGCCAACAGCTATGACAGCAACGCTGCCGCTGCTGTTGGGGCTTGTGGCAGGCTCCAGCCGGACCCGATGATCTTCCGACCGAGCACTGTGGACACACATACGGAGGAGGGCAATCACATGTCGCCCCACTTCTGCATCAATGGGAAGAAACGTTCCATCGCCATCGCACAGCTGGACCCACCGATCCCCGCCGAGGAGGCCGCCAAGGAGGAGGCCAAGCGGCGGGTGGTGATGCCAAAGAAGGAGAGCAACAACAGCAAGGTCCCGGGCCGGGGGCGGGATGCACAGCGGGTCCACGCGACGCGTTCTAGCGACCAGGGTGGTGTGTGTGTCGGTGATGGGATCGGGATTGGGATTGCCGTGTCGGACGGGAAGGGGAGTGGAGAGGGGGATGAGGATTGGGCTTTCTGTGGGCTGCAGCCGCACTGTCACGCGGCCGTTGATGTGCCTGAGCTTGAGGCCGACCTGTACACTTCCTCAGTCGACGGAGTCTACTTCCATCAGAACCAAAGGGTCAGTGAACAATTCCATGCCTCTGCGTGTGTGTCTGAATTTAGTCCAATGCATTGAGTGCAGGAGTGGCGCGCCAAGTACAACCAGGACGGCCACCGCCGCATGAAGACCTTCTCCGCCCGCAAGTTCGGTTTCCAGGCGGCGAAGGACCTGGCCGAGGCCTTCGCACACGAGCACCGCGTACCCACACGCACCAAGCCGCCAAGGGCAGCCACCGTCGCCCCCAGGAAGCAGCCACCGCCCCATGCGCCACACCGGCGATCAGAGAGTGTGAAGAGTGTGAAGGTGTCCGCCAGGTCGGTCCCTCCCCGGGAGCGTGAGGCCCGTCTGAGGGAGGCGAAGGGCTTTCTGGCGGACTGGGGAGTGGATCCTCACGTATGCGACGCACGGCTGGTGAGACACGAGACAGAAGAAGGAAACAGAGACGCGGCCCGTCACGTGTGTGCGGCTTTTGGTTGTGGGGTTCCATCCCGTGCAGGCGTCGGGTTTGTTCCGCCGTCGTGTCGGTGTGGGTAACATCGGGCAGTCGTTTGGCGAGAAGACACTACTGCGGTTCGACGTGAGTGAGCACTCATAAACTCTACAGACAGACGCTCATTCTTCAGCACATACCTAACGAGGGATGTGGATGTTTGTGTGGCGTGATGGATCGATCAGACTGAGCTAACTTTCCTGGATGACTTAGAGGACGTGGTGCGTGCCAGTGAGGAGCAGCAGCTGCACCCGGCCACCACCGAGCCGCTCTGGGACGAAGAACCCGCCTCACACAATGGCATGCAACTGCACACAGACACAGACACTTAATTAATCCACCCACAGGCGTTCATTCGCCATGTCTCTCCCTCCTCTGTGTGTGTGTGTGTGTGTGTCTGCAGGGGTGTCGCCCTCCTCAGAGGAGCATGGGCATGATGACGGCGTCTCCTCCACCAAGATCTCCACCAAGACCCACCAGACGTCGCTGCCCATGGCACCTGAGCCATCCAAGCCACAGATTGTCTCATCCTCACCATTCGCGCCGCCGCAAGACTTCTTCGGCCTCCCTCACACCAACTACCGTCAGCAGCACCACCAGCAGCAGCGGCAGGAGCAGCAGGAGCAGAAGGGCCGTGTGGGCAAGAGCAAAGGCAAAGGCAAGGGCAAGAAGCGGGCGACGCAGAAGAAGTCGAAAAAGGGCGGAGGGGCTGACGAGGATGTGCATATGGAGGATGTGGGAACCCACACGAGTGTGCTGCCGCCCCCTCTGCCCCCTCTGCTCGCGCTGCCGGAGAGGCGGGAGGAGACGGGAGCACGGAAGCCGAACGACACGGCTGTGGGGCTGAATCCTCCCCTGTCCGTCTCTCTCTCTCTCGGTATGGCTGACCCCTTCGCTGCCTTCGCGTCGGCTGCTCTTTGCCAGGAGCCCCCAAAACACCACCACCACCACCAGCAAGACACCTCAGTTGCCCCACATCAGCCCCTGGTGCAGATGCAGATGGTGTCGTCTTCCTCCTCTCACTCCGGCATGCCGCACGTATACGCGCATCAATATCATCCCTATCACCCGGCCCCCCCCTTGTCGATGTCTCCTGCGGACCCGTTCGCTGCCCTGTCGCCCTACTTCATCGTCCCCAAGACACGCTGACTGACGGTTGCGGGCGGAGGGAGGATGGTATATCGTGAGTGAGAGACGGGGGAGGCGGTGCCTCTGTGTGTGTGTCTGTCTGTGTGCGAGGGGGAATGGAATGTGTGTGTGTGTGGGGGGGGGGGGCCAATGCCGTCTATCGCGAAAGCATACATACCCCGGGCTTTTGTAAGGACGGGCGGCAGACAGGTGGACGGACGGACGGACGGACGGGCGAATGTGTGAGAGGGTCTGTCGGGAGATGGACGGACATCGGTCAGGTCAGGTCAGACACACCCATGGAAGCTGACTGACGATGATTCAATAAATAATGAATGAGTCGAGTGGTCACGCAAGTAAGTGTGCACACCGTCCTACTAGGGCAACATCAACGGGAAACCACTTGACGATGCACACACACACACACACACACATGGAATCGCTGGCGAATTGACGTGCACACGCACACTTACATGCAGGGCGGCGGCGTCAGGCCCACTTCTCTCTCCATCCCCCCTCCCCTCCCCTCCCCTCCAACACAGACAGGCAGACATGCACGTGACTGGACGCCACGAGAGTGAGAGAGTGCGAAGAAAGGTAGCCGCGATGAGGTGAGGGCGGCCGAGTGACATGCAGAGAGAGAGAGAGAGAGAGAGACGTAGATATAAAAGTGACTGACATGCAGCACCAAGAGGTCCACGGAGACGTGCAAACGTGGACAGAAAAAACAACGTGAAAACGTGCAGACACGAGACGTGGAAACAAAGTAACCCTACACATAAGTCTGTGAAGAGACGTGTAGCACCTAGGCAGAGACGCGCAGAGACGTGGATAGAAAGCGATCATGGAGAGAGAGAGAGGGTGGGGAGAGCGGGAGGGGGCCCATGTCGGGCATTAGACACACACACACGCACACGCACGAGAGTGGAAAACCATAACATGACGCGGCTTCTCGTGGTCGGTCGGTCCTTTCCACACACACAGACACACACACGAACACGCAGACATGAAAGCAAGAATGGCGGCAATCACTGATCTGTGATGCGATGCATGTGGAATGAATCCATGGCCGCGACTGCGATGACACAGACGGAGGGCCGACAGGGGACGGGCCGACACCCAAACTTCCCGCCCGCCCCGCCCCGCCCCGCCTCACCCTCGTATGTACGAAATGAACACCAGGAAAATCACATCACATGCATAGACACTCACGCACTCACCAAGCGACCAAGCAATCAGTCAATCCCTAGCTAGCTATGATACAATCCCTCACTCAGTTACTCAGCCTCCCTCCCTCCCTCCCTCCCTATGCACTTACAGTACGCGGCAACACACCACACAACACCACGCCGTCCCGCAGCCAGTCCTTGAAAATCCTCCACCCCTGCCCTGCCCGCCCACACCCACCGCACGGCCGCTGAACGTCGCTCGCTGCACTCAGCCCCTGAAGCCGATGAGGTAAGGGTTGACGTGCCCCTCCACCTGGAGGGGCATGTATGGCGCATCCTCGCCGCCGTCATTGTTGCCATTCCTCCCCCCGATCAGGGCGACCAGGTCACGACAGGTGCCATCGCTCGACGATCGGCCGCTGCTGCTGACGGCGTGGGCCTTGGCCCCCGGCCAAAAGCCCACCTTCATGCCATTGCGTGGGTGTGCGGGGGCAGCAGCAACAGCAGCAGCAGCAGCAGCAGGAGGAGGAGGGCTGCTCGTCAGGGGAGGGGGGAAGAAGGCATCAGCCCTGTCCCTGTCCATAGCAATGGCCGTGTCGGTCTGCGGCGACGCTTCCGCCTTGGCGAGAGTGTCGGTGTGGGGGGTGGTGCTCTTGTTGGTGTGTGTGTTGGACCGCGGGATCTCCTCGTCATGTCTCGTGAGCTGGGGGGGCGGAGGCAGACACGGGATGGGCAGGAAGGACGTCGGCACCGCCTGGCCTGCCGGCAGCATCTCCCGAATCTTGCTGAGCAGCTGCTGGGGGGTGGGATGGCCGTCCAGGAGCAGGCGCAGCAGCTGACGCACCAAGTTGAATCGCTGCACGCTCACGCGCGCCAGCTCGTGCTGCAGCTGCATGAGGACCGTCTTGCACTCGACCGCCCGCTGCCCGCCCCCTGCCAACGTCGGCTTGGTGCTCGCCTTGACCCAATCCCAACACACCGTCCGCAGATATGGCACCACCGACGCGGGCGGGGTCACCGCACCAGAGGCACCCACACCAGCACCAGCGGCCGACGCGGCCCTCGACGCCATGCTCTCAGCTGGGGAGGCATCCTTGTTGGCGGCCAATGCCTGGCCGACCAGGACGCTTGGTGGGGCCGAGGAGGGCGACACGTCACAGTTGACGCTCGAGGGGTTGTTGAGCTGCAGAACGGATGAAGACGGCGGCAGCACCGGCAGCGTCAGCCGGTTCCCCGAACCCATGTCGACCGTCACTGACGCCCCATCTGTCTTGGGCGCGGTCACCTTGATGCGTGTGCCCTTGCGCCGCATAGACGGCTGCGGCTGTGGCTGTCCGCCTGGTCCCCTGGTGGGGTGTCGGTGGGCGGGGTGAGGCGACCACGGAGACGACGGCTCCTTCTTAATGATGCGCCGACCGCGACGCGACACGCACACTTCGTCATCACCACCACCCGTGTCAGGACCGGCTCCCTTTTTTCCAGGCCCTGTCTTCTTGTCGCTCTCGGGCGTCTTGGGCTTGTCAGACTTCTTGAAGCGGCCAGTGATGTCGTCCCGCGGCGCGTCCGGCCGGGCGGCCTTCTGGTGAGCAGTGGGGGTGTCAGTGTCCTTGTCGCCATCACGGTCCCGTTTGATGCCTTTGCTGCGCGTCTTGCCCTCGGTGAGGACCACGTCGCTGTCGAGCAGGGGGTCCTTGTCGACTTTGCGCGGCTTGCCTGGCGCGGGGGGGAAGATGCCGAGTTTCTTGAACTTTTTGCGGAGCTTCTTGCGTCGCTCGATGGCCTCGTCTGTGTAGGGGTCGCCTTCGATGCGGTTGTGGACGGGGTTGGCCTCTGCCCACTCGTCGGCGAGCTTCTTGGCCTCGTGGTAACCGTATTTCTGCATTCATTGACACACGGACGGAAGGAACAGCAGAAGAGATGTATGGAGTTGGAGGGGCGGCGGTCGGAGGGGCGAGGCTCCTTACGTTGCTGGAGAAGGTCTTCATGCGTCGGTGTCCGTTGTCGATGTAGCGAGCACGCCACTCCTGCAGTGGGGACACAACACAAACAACACAAACAACACACACACACAGCGTATCCATCTCAGTCGACATCCCCTTCTCTCTCCATCCTGCTTGCCCCGCCCAACCCACCCACCTGTTTGCGATCGTGGAAGTACACCTGGCGCATCATCCTTCCCTTGACAGCCCTGCTCCTGTCGGCCCCGCCGCCCCCGCCCCCACTCCTCGACCCGTCACGCGACTCCCACTCCTCCTCCGAGTCAGACCCGCCATCCTCCTCACGCACACCACAACCACCATCACCCCCAGCAGCAGCAGCAGCAGCAGCAGGAGCAGCAGCAGCAGCCCCGTCACACTCGCCCCTGTCCTCCTCCTGGAAGTGCCGCCACATCTCGTCCGGCACCTTCTTGCCCTTCGGCTCCTTCCGCTTGCCACGCTGCGCTCCTCCCGTCTCGTAGTCCCGAGCCAGTTTGGGGTTCATGCCGGCGGTCGAGCGGGCGGGGCGGCGCCTTGACAGCAGGCCGCCCATGTCGCCTGTGCTGGCCGGCTGCTGCTCCGGCTGCAGCAGCTGCTGCTGCTGCTGGTCTCGCTGTTCGCACGTGGCGAGTTCGTCGAGCAGCTGGTCTGCGGCGCCCTGGATGATCTGGAGGGGTGAGGGGAGCGCGGCGTCGGGGGTGGCGGGGCCCATGCTGGCCGGTTCGGCCTGAGGGATCTTGCTGGTGGATGCCTTTGTGCGGTCGGCAGAGGCCGCCATGAGCTCCAGCTCCTCATCCTTCTTGATGTTCTGGATTGTGTGCGGGGAGAACTCACGACCGCCCTCCACGCCACTGCTCTTGGTGCCGTTGGACTGAATGGCCAACCTTCCCCCCTCGCCAGGAATCCGCGCCTTCTGTATGGCGAGTCTTGGTGGTGGCTTCTGCCCAGGTAGGCGTGACGAAGACCCACGAGCGTCCACCAATGCCGGGGTGCGTGTGGGTGTGGGGGGGACGGACTGCATGGTCGGGACGGGGTGCATGAAGGGGCCAGCAGTGGGAGGGATGGCCGTCTGCCGACCGAACGCCTCGGTGTGTCTGTGATCTGCCGGCCCAGAATGAGCCACAGCCACCGGGGGGAAAAGGGGGAAGTATGCCGGAACAGGCGGGATGGCAAACAGGCCGTTGGTGGCCTCGCTGGTGCCGTGTGCCGGTTGAGGAGGGACCCCATGCGGCAGATGGGGATGGCCGGTCAGACTGGCGAAGGGGGGCGGTGGTGCTCGGGGGGGACCCTCCGCCATCGGATTCGACACGGCACCAAGACAAGCGAGCACCGCAGCGCACCCGACAGTGCGCACGCGACGGGTTTGGTACGGTTTGGAGGGCACTTTTCCTGCGAGCCAACAAGCTCGCAACTCAGATTCACGAGCCTGCAGGGGTGTGTGCGATGAGTTTCGAGTCTGCGGCGAGTGCGCTGCAGAATGTGCCGCTGAGCAACGTGTCTAGGGACCACTGGAAGCAGTTCAAGTCGGCCGAGGCGACCGACGACCTCAACCTGCTCATAGATGGCGTCCCGGACGACTGCACGGCAGACGGCATCCACGAGATCGTCAAAATCGCAAAACAATTCGCCAAGGGAGATGTGAGCAAAGCGGGAGAAACGCGTCTGTGTTGGTTGGATGACATCCATCCATTCATCAGGCTCCTGCTGGTGAGTTTTGGCGTGCGGTCAAGGCCGAGCAGACGGCTGACGGGCTGGACCCCTGCCGCGCCCTCCTGTGCGTGGTGTGCCAGCTGCTCGACGCACAGGAGCGCCTCATGGTGCAGGCCGCGGCACTCTACCTCGCCGTGCTGCGGGTGGGTCGGTCACACTCACACAGACGGTGCCTATGGCCTGCACCCATTTCTCTCTCTCTCTCTCTCTGTGTGTGTGTGTGTGTGTGTGTGTTATAGATTCCCGGTGCGGCGGGCCATCAGTTTGACGTGCGTCCCTTTCTGTTCCGTCGGCTGCACAGTGCGCTGAAGGGTTTGGTGACGGAGGGCAAGGTGGCCAAGGGCCAGGCGGGGCGGAAGAAGAAAGCCAAAGCCAAGAAACCCAAGAAGAAACAGCAGGGGGGCGACAGCGGCGACGACGATATGGACGGTACGGCGAGGGCACAGCAGAGCAGCAGCTGGCCGTGCCCCGAACGATCTCTTCCCTCCGCATTTCCTTGTTTCCTCCTCCTTCCTCGTGTGTGGTGTGCGTGCAGATGAGAAAAACGATGAGGATGACGAGTGAGTGGGACCAGAGAGGACAGAGAGGAGTGCGACGTGGCATAACATTCTTGATGTGTGTGCAGTGATGGCGACAACAACCGTGAGCACATCGACCTGGACGCCCCCGAGGGCGCCAAGCTGTCTGACGCCGACATGGAGACCCTCCTCAAGGAGCTCACCCGGTTCCTCAAGGACTGCCCACCACAGGCATTCGCATCCTCTGGCGGACTCGACGCGCTCCTCCCCTTCCTCGAGAGGCTCGCAGACATCGCCCGCAAACCAAAAACACCCATAGCCAAGTCAGTCGGCGACACCCCCCCCCGCCCCCCCCCCACACACACAACACTCAGAGGTTGACGTTCTATATGTTGGTTGGTATGCAGGGAGTATGCGCCCGAGGCGATTTTGGGCATGTTGCTGCGCGTCAACGAGTTGCGGAGTGAGGGCAGTCTGAAGGCCCGCGACCCTCAGGCTGAGGCGCCCCCTGCAGCAGCAGCAGCGGCAGAGGGCGATGACGATGATGACGAGGAGGGGAGGGCAGCTCCTGGGGGAGAGGGGGAGGACAGGGAAGGGGATGATGGAGCGGTGGTCGACCTTGGTGACAGCATATTTGTTCGTGTAGTGGGGGTGGCGTTTAAGCACCTGTTGCCGTCACTGCTCATGGGCCGCGAGACCCTCCTGCCCGCGACCACCATGAACGCCGAGCTCAAGGTGAGTGAGAAACGGCGGCCTACTCACTGGAAACGGGGGAAAGGCTGCGTGTATCTGGGCTCTCTCTCTCTCTCTCTCTCTGTGTGTGTGTGTGTGTGATTAGGGTGTTCGTGAGCGTGCGACGCGTGTGCTGACTCAGCTGGTAGAGCACTGCCCGGCTCTCCTCCACCCCATCCCATTCGTCGACACAAACCCACAACAAGACCAGGACGAGTTAGTAGCCATGCCACACAACACAACACAAGACACCCCCCCCCCCCCCCCCCCCC